AGCAACCTGCAAAGCCCCCCCCCACCCTGCCCCCTGCAGCACAGCACCCCTGCTGAGCCCCGCCCCCACTCCCTGCAGCACAGCGCCCCCTAGTGCCATTCTGAAGGAACTGTTTATACAGGGGGTTTCTCACCTGGAGCACGACCTTGCTGACATGAGCAGTTACCCTCTCGCTCAGACACACCACAGACAGAGCTCCTGCCAGCCCCACAGCGCTCCTGCCACCTGGAGCTGCCCAGCTCCTTTCCCAGCCCTTGGGGGAGATCTCTGTGCCTCTGGGGGGTGGGATGGAAGAATGGGGGGGCTTGGGGTCCCCTAGCAGGAGAAAACAGAGTGTGTGGGTAGAGGGAAGGAAGGAAACAGGGCAGGTAGGTGAATGGGGGGTAACCCTGCCCCCTGCTGGCTGGATTGAGAACTGCCCTGCTCTGTGTCCTCGTCCCCAGATCCTACCCCCTGCACCGTGGCACTGGGGTTTGGGACTTGCGAGTGCAGTGGAGGGACAGAGACGCCCCCACAATGACATTGCATTGGACATGAGCCTCCCCCACCGAGGATCTGGCTGTGCCACGGGCGGGGCAGGGGCGGAGTCAGGGGCCCCCAAACCTAGCGGCCGCGCCGTGGCACTGTGCCTGTGCCCATTCCCTGCCCCTTAAGGACTCACCTACCTTCCAGCCCCACAGTGACCAGGAACCTGTTCACCCGCCTGGCCTCCGTGTAGGATGTGACCCCAGGCAGCCCCTGCTCCATCGCCCAGGCCAAGGGGTCGCTGGCATAGGCCAGACCCAGGGACGTGCCGCTGCTCACAGCCAGGCCCAGGTCCGGTTCTGTGTTGCTGACTGAGACCTTGTGGGACGCCTGCAAGGAAACGGAGCAACAGAGCCCAGGGCCAGCGCAGACCCTGCTCCGCTCAGGGAGACACATTGAGGCTGGAGCAGGGCATGATGGGTAATGCTATGCAAACGAGCTGCCCTCGCTACTGAGCAAGAGCCCAGCCACTGAGTCAGGAGCCAGAGGGCTGGGAGCCAGCGAGCTGAGCTGGGCGCAGGACTCTCGGGTTCACCTTGGCAACAAAGGGGCAGGCACCAGGCCAGATGGGCCTGGGGGAGCAACCATAACAGAGGTCAAAGGTCATGCAGGTTCAGCTGATGCCATTGGTCAGGGAATGGGGGAGAGTGATCCAAGGAGGGGGGGTCACCAAGAATATGGGTTGAGGGTGCGGGAGGGGGATCCCAGGGGAGCAGCCTGTGGGTGTGGAGGGGTTGTGAATAGGGGGCTATTCCTGGCACCTGGAGCCCATCCCCAGGGAACCCCTCCCTCCCTTACCAGCACTCGCAGGGGCCCTGCCATGTGCGGGGTTCGAACCAGCCAGCTGGTGGCGCCCTCACTCTTCAGCACCATGATCAGCTCCCGGCGGGGGGAGCAGCAGCCTCCAGGCACTTGGAGCTGGACCGTGAGATGGGCTGGGGGCCTGGAGACATGGCAGGACAATGCGCCCCACATCAGCTGGAGGATCTGGCTGGGCATGTCTGCCATGGGGCTGAGCAGCAAAATGGGAGCAGGGTGTCCCAGCTCTCCCAGTGCCCCTATGCCCAACACAAAGCCCCTCTGCCCTCGCCATGGGCTCCCCTGCACCCCACTCTCCCCAGCTCTACCAGTGCCCCTCTGCCGTCACCGTGGGCTTCCCTGCACCCCACTCTTCCCGGCTCTACCAGTGCCCCTCTGCCCTCGCCATGGGCTCCCCTGCACCCCACTCTCCCCAGCTCTACCAGTGCCCCTCTGCCGTCACCGTGGGCTTCCCTGCACCCCACTCTTCCCGGCTCTACCAGTGCCCCTCTGCCCTCGCCATGGGCTCCCCTGCACCCCACTCTCCCCAGCTCTACCAGTGCCCCTCTGCCGTCACCGTGGGCTTCCCTGCACCCCACTCTTCCCGGCTCTACCAGTGCCCCTCTGCCCTCGCCATGGGCTCCCCTGCACCCCACTCTCCCCAGCTCTACCAGTGCCCCTCTGCCGTCACCGTGGGCTTCCCTGCACCCCACTCTTCCCGGCTCTACCAGTGCCCCTCTGCCCTCGCCATGGGCTCCCCTGCACCCCACTCTCCCCAGCTCTACCAGTGCCCCTCTGCCGTCACCGTGGGCTTCCCTGCACCCCACTCTTCCCGGCTCTACCAGTGCCCCTCTGCCCTCGCCATGGGCTCCCCTGCACCCCACTCTCCCCAGCTCTACCAGTGCCCCTCTGCCGTCACCGTGGGCTTCCCTGCACCCCACTCTTCCCGGCTCTACCAGTGCCCCTCTGCCCAACCCGCCCCTGTCCCCCAGCCCTGGGCTCCCCCACCCCAGCTCTGCCAGTGCCCTTCTATCCAAACTGAAAGGCCCCTGTGTCCCAGCCCAGCCTGGAGGACGCTCTAATGGCTGGCTCGTACCGGGGACTGGCTCCTCTGGAGAAGATGACATGAACTTCAGAGTCCCGGGGGGGCTCAGAGGTCAGGCAGCCCCACAGGGGCCGTGGCTGCAGGTCGGAGGCGAAATGGGTCGGGGAGAAGAAGTTCCTGCGAAGTTTGCAGGAACCCGGCGAGGCCCCATCTGGGAGAGAGAATGCAGAGGGGGTGGGGACGTTAACCCTGAGGGTCTCGGGTTATCCCCCAGAATCTCCCTGGGATTCCCTCTTTCAGGTGCATGGGGCTGGGGTCCAGCCCCCGGGGTCCCATCTCCAGCCCCCAAAAACCTCCCTTTATCACAGGAGGGTCTGATCCCCAAGTCCCCTCCCCCACTGACACAGGGGCCCAATCCCCGCCAGTAGGGTCCCCCCATCTCTGC